AACACAAGCTGAAGAATATAAAATTGAGAAGAAGAAGTACCGTCTTGGTATAGTTACAAGCTGGAGAGTATAACACGCATGTACGGAAAAGTAATGTACTCCTGCAGAGCTGTGAAAATTAAACAGTTGGATTAGTATCAGTCCGAATTATACCAAAATCAAATAATTCATTTAATTTATCACATACATTGGAATCAAATTTTCTATACAGATAAACATGCATACATGATTCACCTCACGTTTTACGTTAAAGGCCAGACATCCAAGCTAAGAGATACGAAACACGCTAGTACTTACCGAAAAACTGCTCTTACTTGAAAGATGCTAGTGTCCTTGTAGATAAATTTTGAGCTGCGAGTGAGATACCCTAATCTTTGCGGTAACTAATCCCGGTAGCCATTCCAGTTTTATCTCGAAAGACGACACGTCAGCTGAGATCATCCAGAAAGCTAAACAAGTGGCGTACTTTTCTAGTTTCTTTTTCACAGTGGCGTGCACCACTCGCACTTGCTTAGGTACTGCACAATTGTCATATACTTCAGACGAATTAGATAGCCAACTCAATCAGATTAATCCTACATCGAGTTTTTTTTTTTTTTTGTCAGAACCGAGCGATGTACATAACGAATTGATTTAAAAACGGCATTGAGATGGATAATCTAAGCGAGACAGACTCATTATCATGCCCAAATAACTCCACCATTTATCTACAAACAAGGGATACTGAAGAACACAAACAGCCAAATATCTTAATGGAATAGTTGAAGCTATCTATTTGGTTAGCAATGTTTTGTGCCCGAACGATACGCTTGAAAAAGCAAGTTAAGACCGCACTTGTAGCAGGATCATACCTTTCGTACCTTTTTCGTTTTACCTTGATTTTCAACATCATTTTTCCCTAATAGACAATCTTATTAACTTTGATGACTTCATTCATTGACTCGGGATGTCGGTGGTTGCAGTGCTGAGTTCTCTTTTGAACTTGGTCTCCCCCATTGATGAACGTCCGCTGTCGCTATTCCAAGGCAGCGTGAGCGAGTGGAGTGATATGAGAAGATAATGATCCATCCTTTCATTCATTATTGAAGTAAATCATCAAATTCAGTCCAACCTTGTTTAACTATACCCACCGCGAGTTGTTTTCAGAACATCAACATCAGCGTGTATATCGTTACTTTATACGCCCGTGAAATCTACTCCTACCCTGTGCCGCCATTAATACAGCGCCTACGGACCAACGGAGGTTTCCACAATCATTAAATCTACAATTTGTAGATTAAATTGCAACATTTCAATCAAATGTGAGTGCGCAAAATTCTCCAGTGTGGGTGCCACTTGTTAACCTTGCCTCAAACATACATTCAAAGCTTGTCTGTCATTAACAATTCATTCCAGGACGTGGAATTTACACTTTTACGCACACATTCATGTTTCCAAAACCTTCAAAACTCCATCTGACGACTGCGTACACCGCTTCTATCACGCAACGCAGCATGATGTCAGCCGATCCAAGGCAGTAACTGAGCCATCATCTCATTTCTCCGCAGTGGCCAAAAAGCATGCACTGCCGATAGCATAGCCGTTGGTTTTGATCTTCTCGTTGGAATCTCCGTGGTTTTGATCTTCTCGTTAGAGTTAGCTGGTCTTGCTCGAGATGGAAGCTGAGCCGCCGAGAGACGCGAACTTGGAGGCGGCAGGGACAATAACACCGGAAAACAGTTCGCCCTCATCAAAGATCGTGTAGCCATCATCCGGCGCGCCGAGCGACTTGATGCCGAACTGCCAGTACTGCATGTTGGACTTGGAAGTGTACACTTGGTCGCTCCATGCCAAGTAGGAGTCCGAGTCAAGTGTCTTGACGCCGTACTCCTCAAGAACCACAGGCTTGTTAGCTTTCTTGCCCGACGCCACGTGGTATTCGATCCACTTCACACCCCACAACTTCGCCTCCGAGGCAGCAACACCCCACGTGTCCGGGTATGCGTGGTAAGCACCGTAATCAATGGTTTTAATCGCCAGGTTGGCGTCGAAATCGACGCCTGACGGACCAGAGTACACGTAGGCGTTCTTGTCCGTGTTCAAGAAGCCCTCGCTTCCCGACGCCACGAGGTGCTTCGAGTCCAGCGATTTAATATACTACAGCACCGCAAATGATAACATCATTTTTTAAATGCTGTAGTAAGATACAGGAAGAGATAACACATCTAGACTCACCGAAGACATCTCGGCCATCCAGTCCGTAAGTGTTCCGGCGTTACACTTGCCCGACTCCTTTAGAGTTCCAGATCCCTCACAACGGCACTCATTGCACAGCTGCCAAGCCATGATGGTGTCATCGTCAGCGTACCGCTCCACGAACGTCTTGACGAAGTTCTTGTACGCAGCTTTGATCTTCTCGTCCGTGTAGAAGTCGTCGTGGTATTTGCCTCCGAGTTGCTGAACGTACACGTCTGGGTAATAACAGAACTTTCAGCTAGTGACTGTGTTTATCTAACCAAGGCTGAATGGGACTCACCGATGCCGCCGTAGTCGGCCCAGTTGTTCACAAACGGCACGACCAGCTTGACGCCAGCAGCCTTGGCCGCCGCGATCACCAAGTCGAAGTAACCGAGCCCATTGTCTCCAGTGTTGACGGTGGCTTTGCCGTTCTCCCACAACTGGTACACGACGTTTTTTGGTGCCGAGCCAGCCTCCGTGAGGTCAGCAAACCCCCACAAACGACACACAGTCAGGTGGTTCTTGGCCATGGAGTTAAAGACCTTCTCCAGGTCCGTTTTGCTCTGCATTTACATACCAATGAAAAGCAGTATACACTTAGTCTAACCATTCGAGATCGGAGCACAACGCTATTGTACGCACTAAAGTGGTCTCCGAGACCCAGTAGGCGTTGGTACCGAACACGTTGAATGGTTTGCCATCCAGCTCGAAATTCGTCCCCGACGTCGTCACGTAGCCAGCGGTGGCGGTGTCGGCAGTCAGCGATGCAATCAGTGCAGCAGCCATGACAAAGATCTTCATGTTGACAGGTTTCGTAAAGCTCGAAAAATTGAAACTGGCTGATAATATGGCACTCGAAAGTTGTGAGCCGATTGCCGGGGGAATCCATGGTCGAGTCATCGAGTCGAGGAGAGACTATTATAGAGGATGAATCTCTGCTTCGGCTCATGCTGTGGAACCAGTTGGCAACGACCCTGCCATCGTCGTTGAGACTCCGACGTGCATCGAGACAAATGTATCGCGGTAGTAGAGATGCGTAGAGTGTCTTACTCTCGGAGCTATTCATCAGAACAGGCAGATATGTCGTTATACCAAGAACAATGATATAGAGACAAGCAACGACGAACATACCAAGCTGGAGCATACGCGAAGCACCAACGAGAATGCCAAGCTGAAGCTTACGCCAGTTCTACACTCCCAGCTGGTAGATGCGTGTACCCGAGGCTTCGGCATCGTGTTGTCTGGTGGTGGACGCACTGGCAGAGAGGCACTGCGAATGTGTGTGGGTTCAGGTACACTCACTATATGAATCACAGCGGTCGCAGCTAGCTCGACACTCGGGTGTACATTGCGCTCATTAAAGGCGCACTTGGTGGGCAGTTTTAAGCGAATGACTTGAGTAAACTGACTAAAACACTGTAACACGTTTGTATGTGAATCCATCGCACGCTGCAGAGTTGATTACAAAATGGGTTCTTTTAGGCCGATAATCCTGTCTTAACTAACAAAAGTATTACCCTTCACAGTATTTCACAAATTAGCCACCACCATACAAACTTCAATTGATTGCTTGTCCAAAGCTGCTGACGCTGCCAGAGAAGCTCCGTATACATATTAAATCAGTTGTTACGTTTGCATAAGCACAATACTTGTTTGGATTAATCACTTGGACGCGGAGGGGTGACAGGAAGGGGTAGAGCATGATTTTTGTTATTGTCTTCACCAGTGTCCCGCTTGCTTATGCGGCGCCATAATTGACGAAATCGATTATGCAATACTGCTGTTGATGCAGTTTGCCGCGGCTCTTCTCTTTTGCATGTCAACAAAGCCAGCAATCGCTCGTGTCACCAGTACAAACTTGTTCAACGCTCTGATGGTTGAACATATAAAGTTAACTCGCTGGCACGTGCGGCATACGCCAGAAAGTTGACTGCGAATGCTCATGATAAGCCCGAGTAAACAGTGTAACTAAACACGAAGAAAATGTACATATGACTCATATTTCGTATCATATAAATGATCACAGGTGTTCTCACAGCGGCAATATTATAATTTCACTGGGAGACCAAGATATGATTCAAAAGTGTGCGTGCAGTACCGTTAAGCAAATATACCGTAGGATGGACCATATGAGTCAGATGCTCCAGCGGAGCTGTGTAGATTTTCTTCGTGTTTAGTTACACTGTTTACTCGGGCTTATCATGAGCA